AATGTGCTATGTAGTCAAAAACTGGAGATAAATGTTTTCAGTCAATTGAGGGGGGAAAGATTTTAAAGGCTTGAGAATCCCAGTGGGTACCAATTAATGTGTCCAGGTACTGAACTGACACAAGTTGCTTGGCCTCTCCCATTTCCAATAGTAACATGGGGCCCCAGAGGCCTAATTTCAATGGACCATGTGATTCAGCTTGTAGGAGGTGGCACAGACAAGGCAGTGGCAATGAATTTTCCTTCTCTCTCCTGCCATTTCTATCTGCTGTGAGTACAACTGAGAAGTCAAACAGGCTTTCTAGAGCTTTTTGGCTAGATCTGAAGTGGTTAACTTTGGGCTCTTCAACAAAACTCCTGCAAGGTATTGGCCTATCCATGAGGAAAGTATGTCTTAGTATTATCATTCCTGGATTGCTCTTGGTGAATCTTAAGTTCTGTTATTTGGTGTAGTGCAAAGGGACAGTTGGTGACTCAACTGTGCAAAATGAGCATTAAAAATCCTTGCATCTGAACCAAGAATTCCTGAGGCATTCATTTTTAGCAATACAGAAGTGCTGGTTGGAAAGGAGCTCTGAAAGTTACCTGGTCCATCCTTTCACTTAAAGCAGGCCTGCTGCCAGTGCTGTCAGGTGTGATTTTGTCAAATAAAATCTTGAAAGTTTCTACTATGGAGAACCTACTGTTTCTTCAGTGATCCGTTCCAGTTTTGCACTAATCTCTGGTGAAGACATCTTTTGTCATGTCAAGTCTGAACTCCACAAGCTGCAGTTGCAGCCATTGCCCCAGGTTATATCTTCTACCCCTACCAAGAAAGGTCATGTTCCAACATCCTTGTAACTGCTTTTCAGCTATTCATAGGCAGTTATTTAATCACTCCAACCTCCTCTTGGTCCGACTAAATAAGCCTAGCTCTCTCTGTTACTCCCACTGGGTCATGTGCTCCATACTCCGACTGATTTGGTAGTTCTTCGTTACACCCTCTCCAGTTGCTCCACATTCCTCTTCAACTGGGGACCAGCAGACCAGACACAGTCCAAGTGCAGCCTCATAAATGTCATGGAGAATGAGGATTGTAAATTAACTTGGGATCTGCTAGCCATGCTCCTCCAGTATTCATTCACTGCTGCATACAGAGTTCATCCAAACAGAAATTAATTCCAAGAAAATTAGTATATAGCAATCAGCTCTATTGACATGCTCTATACAGAAGATCAAAAGCTCTGTCAAAGATATTTGTTCAACTGTTTTTCATGTAAATGAGTATATTTGCTTCAGATCCCTTTAGTACTGTAAAAACTTGAACCCAGAGAAGCACCAAGTACATCATTGAAAGTAAAATCTGCAGCTGAAAATTCTTTCCCTTCAAAGAACAGTCAACTTTTGAGACAACCTCATGTATTTCCTTACTTTACATTTCCTGAGCATCTCTTTGGGATGCGATTGAGAGGCCATATTTGAAGAGCTAAAAATTAAAAGTCTAGTATGCACTGCACTGTAAAATCCTAGGAGAGGCAAAATTTTTACACTATTCACAAGGTAACTAGGCAAGCTCAGAGACATGGTTACCTCACCTATGCACACCACGATAACATGAGAAGCTGCTACTTCAGTGGGGTTCTCTGGTAAAGTCACTTCTAGGTTTCCTTCTGTAGATGATACCACCATTTTGACAAAGCAGGTGGTTTCCAGCAATATTTCAGAGGGCCTGGCAACTTTCTAGTTGAGTGGTCCAGAGGAGGCCACTTGGTAGTTGAGTGGTCCAGAGGAGGCCACGAGGATGATCAGGGGCTGGAGCACCTCCCGTACAAAGATAGGCTGAGGAAATTGGGACTGCGCAGTCTGGAGAAGAGAAGCTGCATGGAGACCTCATAGCAGCCTTCCAGTATCTGAAGGGGGCCTACAAGGATGCTGGAGATGGACTCTTCATCAGCGACTGTCGTGATAGGAGAAGGGGTAATGGGTTTAAAGTGAAACAGTGGAAGTTCAGGTTAGATAATAAGGAAGTTCTTTACTGTAAGGGTGCCTGGGTTCAGCTGTAGCAGTCCTTTTTCTCCTTCTTAGTAGTTGGTGCAGTGCTGTGCTTTCAATTTTAGTCTGAGATCAACGCTGATAACACAGTGATGTTTTTAGTTGTTGCTATGTAATGCTTACCCTGATCAAGGACTTTTCAGTCTCACGCTCTGCCAGTGAAGAGGGGCACAAGAAGCCGGGAGGAAGCACAGCCAGGATACCTGACTCAAAGAAGCCAAAGGGGTATTCCATACCACAGCACATCATGCCTAGTATATAGACTGGGAAGAGTTACCCAGAACGCCCAGATCGCTGCTTGGGTTGACGGGTGGGGAGCAATTGTACTGTCCATCACTTGTGTTTATTGTTTTCTTTTCCTTTTCCCCTTTTAGTTTTATATTCTCTCCCCTTGTTATTTCCCTTATCATTATTATTATTAGTGGTAGCAGTAGTAGTTTTGTATTATACCTTTACAGGTATATTATTTTATTATTGTATTATACCTATATACAGTTACTGGATTGTTCTTATCTCAACTCATGGGATTTACATTCTTTCGATTCTCCTCCCCATCCCTCTGGAGGATGGGATGGAAGAAGAGGGGGGAGTGAGCAAGCAGCTACATGGTTCTGAGTTACCAGCTGGGCTTAAACCACGACAGAGGGTGATGGGGCACTGGAACAGGTTGCCCAAAGAAGCAATAAATGCTCCATCCCTGGCAGTGTTCAAGGGCAGTTTGGACAGAGCCTTAAGGTGACATGGTCTAGTGTGAGGTGTCCAACCCCCCATGGCAGAGGGGTTGGAACTAGATGATCTTAAGGTCCTTTCCAACACAAACCATTCTATAATTCTATGACTCTGGCACATACAAAATGACTTACCCAAAGTAATCCAATCTGAGATGAAAACTCAAAGCTTTTAGCTCCTAGGAAATTGCTCAAAATACTATGTTTGTTTCTTGCAGTTTCCCCAAGTCCAACTGTTGCAGGCATGGTTATAGAAAAGTAGACCCACCCTTGCTGGGAACATTCCCACCTGAAGACCCAGCTCAGTGAATTCTAGATGAAGCTCAGCAGACATCCGCCTAGTTAAGTATGCTCAGATCTGCAGTTTCATCTTCATCTGCCCTGATACTTTCATGTATTACATCCTCTATGAATGTCAAGCCTCACATACCAGGGATATGTAACTGAAGGCATTCTGTAAATGGCAGGTGAGGAATTTGCTGTTTTGTTGCAACAAATGGATTGCTCAAAACTTCATTAAACTGCATAAGCTGAAAAAAACATTAAGATGCTTCTTTCAACCAGGTCATGGAAGGACAATTTCAATTATTTGAAAAGAAAATTGCTTGGCAGAAACAACAATTTTCTGTTTTCGCTGTAATTTCACAGTTGGTTTTAGTGTTCATTTACATGTGGCATCAATCCTAATAACAATCACTTCCAACTTCTTTGCAACCCTCCTCGTGAACCCCTGATCTAGCATTTTCAGATTAAACCTCCAGTGCTTGGGTCAATTAGTTTCTCCCTCACCCTTCTCCACCACACACCATGCTGCCTTAGTTCTTTCCTCTCATTATCTCTTAATTTCTGAATGTCCTTCGCACCTGCCTCCTCAATCTCGCCTCCGCAGACCTGTCCTTCTTACCCATCCACCTCCTTCTACCCAATGTGCTTCCCTGTCCTCACCTTTAGCATATCTCTCACAGAATTATGAAGTAGTTGAGATCGGCACGGACCTCTCGAGGCCATCTGGGTCCAACCCCCCTGCTCAAGCTGGCTGCCCAGGACCATGTCCAGACAGCTTTCGAGTATTTCTGACTATGGAGACCCCCACAACTTCTCTGGTGGACCTGCACTAGTGCTCAGTCACCCTCATGGTAAAAAAGTGTTCCCTGATGTTCAGAGGGAATCTCCTGTGTTTCAGTTTGTGCCCATTGCCCCTGGTACTGTCACTGGGCACCACTGAACAGTGCCTGGCTCTTTGTACCCTCCCTTCAGATGCATAATATATATATGTATGTGTATATATATACATACATATATCCATATATATACACACACACTATATATATACACTAATAAGATCTCCCTCAGCCTTCTTTTCTGTCTCAGAAAGAGCTGTCTCAACCTCCCCCCATAGGAAAGATGTTCCGGTCCTTTCATCATCTTTGTGGCCCTTCACTGGACTCTCCAATATATTCATGCCTCTTTTGTACTGAGGATCCCGGAACTGGACACAGTACTAAAGTGTGTAGCCTCCCCAGTGCTGAGCAGAGGGGAAGGATCACCTCTGTCATACCTCCCTCAATCTGCTGGCACTACTCTGTCTAGTGCAACCCAAGATACCATTTGTCCCCTTTGCAGCAAGGGCACATTACTGGCTCATGTTCAACTTGGTGTTCATTAGGACACTCAGGTCCTTTTCTGCAAAACTTCCTTCCATCTGGGTCACCCCCAGCATGCACCGGTGCATCATCAAGCAGTCCTGTCAGAGTTACTGCTCTGAGTTCATCGGACTATAAAGTGCAAATCCAGACCAAGGCTAAATTGATAATAGTAAATTGTAATATAGTATACATAAGTAGAATAAATTGGAAATTAATAACATTTGTCTTCCTTTGTTGGAACAAAATCTCTGGTTGGAAAAAAGAGTTAGAGTTTTCAAGTGTATGGAAATGCAACCTACTGTCCCACCCTTAATGTTCACTGTGGTTTTATGCTGTTCACACTCTTTGTCTCTGCTCTATTTGAACTGAAAGCTCCTTGTAGTAAGGATTTGTCCACTGCTTCCCCTCTCTGCAGTTATGAAACTGCAGAGGGAGAGACAGAAACATGTTCTTGGTCGATTCAATAATAACACACGATCAACTGTGTTCCTGACTCCAGAAGTTCCAGCCTCTTGACTCATTTGGTTGAAGTTGGCCTATAAAGCATGGAGTGCAGCTAGTTCCTTCCAACAGAGAAAAGTAATGACATGGGTGCATACTTTTGGTCCAATGCAGTACTAGCAGTTTATTTTCACTGATGGATTTACAGGAGTTGAAGTCTCATTTCTTCTCTCCTACTCATAGTACTGGAATGCAAAATGAGAGGCTGCCACTGGTAGAAGTCTGTTTATATGTTTTCAGCACTGGAAACCAGGCTTCATTTTCCCAGTCCTGCTAGCACCAGACAATGGAGATGCAGGGAATGGAAACGAAATCTGATGCTCAGGAATGGAGGAATGGCAAGCTCACCCTCAGAGATCTGAAGACCCAGCATCTTTTGTGACAAAAATTTTGTTTGCCCTTACAGGACACACAAGGCAAAGACTAGGCCAGGGAATATGTTCCAGGTCTCATGTGGTCATAAATAGCAGTAAGCCAACACATGTTGATTGAAAATGGATCTACTGCTGCTGATAACTCACCATTATGGGCAACAAACCCGTCCCTGCAAAACACCTTTGTGAGGTGTGAGAGGCAAATCCTTGGTCTTGTGTAGACCTTTGGTTTGCAGGACAATGATCCACTTGTACCACTGAGGAAATGATCATGAGATGAAAATGCACATGAGATTTATCTAAGAGACTTCTCACAGATCCATGGAGCAGCAAATTCACAGCTGGAGGCCTGGAAGTGATCTTTCATCAGGACAGCACAATGTTGCACAGGGCTGTTAGAGAGGATGCTGCAAGAGACATGGAACAAAAATGAGACTGAGAGAAAATGCTGAGGTATCTCCAGTAGGTGAGAAAGAAACAACATCTGATTTTGGAGGGTGGAGCCCAGAGGAAGTGAAAGAACCCAGCCTCCAAAGGACAGCTGTTAGAAAACAATATGAGCACCCAGAAAACCGTAAAACCCTGCAGATTACACATCTAAGTAAGTTTGCCACTGTGGAACCAAAATCATAACCAAACATGGACATGATGCCCTGACAGTGAAAGTGGTACCCACCATCATGAGAATGGCAGAGCTGAGAGTTTCATGGAAAGATGATCATCTCCAAGGAGTTTGTAAGAACAGAAAGCTGGATTTAAGAAGGGAATTAAACCAAGTTCTTAGATTACCGACCTATTGACAATGATCTTGAGAGAGGTTTCTCACTGGAGAAGTGTTAGACACTAACTAGTTTCCTTCACTGCCATAAAAGGGAAAGGGCCAGGCAGTCACTGGACCAAATCATAATGCTTTCCCTCATGCAGAATGCTGAGTTTTGCCCAAGACTGACCCAAAATTAAGGTTCTGACTTGGGCTGGCACCAGTAAAGCAGCAAAGGGCTGGGTACTCACACTCAGTGACACCATCACTTGGCAGAATGGGTGCAAAGTGACTAAATCCAGTTAAGCCAAGATGGACCATATGGTTTTCTGACTGAGCAACTTGAGTGAGCAGTACAGGTAAACGATCGCTGATCTGAGCAGCTGGAGGGAAGTAGAGAGTGAGATACTAACATTAGCCCTGCTTTTCACATGTACTGTAACAGCCTTTACAAGGTGCAGGGCAGTAAAAAGTAGACCCTCTTGAGTTCAGTGCCATACAGGTGACAACAAAATCTGCCCAGGAAGAAAGCTACTGAAATCTGACGCAGGAACTCCGGGGATTTTGGAACACCAGGCAATTAGCACTGTTGTTTTTAAAACACAATGAAACTCACTTGGTGCCATTGAATATAGAGCCATCTTCCCAAATCCATCCAGAGCCTGTGCTGTTCCTCAGTCCAATCCAGAAACATTCTGGTTGAATACTCTTGAACAGCTCCTAGAAATGGTGATGAATTACAAAGTGACTAAGGAAAGGCAGCCTGAAAATGGAGGTAAAGATACGTAAATAGAACAGAAAGCAAGATACATCCTCTTGCCTGACTGTTCCATAAATGGCTGACAATACCGCTTCTCCACACCTTCTAATCAGGAAGATCAGCCCTGCAAATCATGACTGGAATAAAAACTGTGTACACTCACAAGGAAGTAAAGGTGCTTTCAAGGGTCCTAGACAGATTCTTCAAAGGCCATTTCTCAGGGCAACATATGTGAGCCAACTGCACCCCAGTTTCCTGAAGTATCCTACACTTTATGTAGGAACATATGCTATTAGTATTGGTGCTTTACCATACAGCTAGCTAGCAAGCTAATACAGAGTATTAACAATTAAAGGTAAAATCAGGTCAGGGCAGGATGTGCAGGCACTGACAGATCTGTCTAAAAACCCCAGGACCAATGCCCTTTACATTTTACACAAACATTCCTCCTACGTGTTTTCAATATTCATTTCCTTTTGCCTAACCTTTAATTCCCGCTTACTGTTTAAAGGTGAAGCCTGCAACCGAAACTCAGCCCTGAAGTAAATCCCCTCCTTAAAAATAAAAAGGAATAAAGACAAAAGAGAGAACTTTGTCCACATTTGCAAAGGAACTAAACAACAGCAACCTTTCAGTGTATGACGGATCCATTCTTCCATCTTTATCTCCTGCTGCCATGAACAAAGCCTCACAGCAGACATCTTCACACAGAAGCATTAACAAAGTGGTAAACTTGGTAAAGTGGTGGGAATAGGAGTAGCTTGAGGAATGCTTGAGTGTTGCTGGTGGTTTGGAGGTGACTGCTTCACTGACGAAGGGAGGTTGAACTAGCTAGGAGAGTCTTGCTAACATAGGAAGTCTGAGAAGGGACAATGGGTAACACTCTAGTAGCAGAGACAGCAGTAAGAAAGCAGCTGGAGCAGGGGAGGCTTACTTCATGGAGAGAAATGGGTAATGTGGGGAAGACAGGTATTTCCCAAGGAATCAGGATTTGCCTAAGCAAGCGTGAGAGGTTGGTACATATTTCCAGTTGAGCAGAAACATGGCTTTGTAAGCTCCCACAGAACATCATACAATGCAACTTCTGTCCAGGGGCTGGAAACTGTCCACGTTCAGTGGACCTGAGCTAATAAGTCCTGGCTTGCACAAAAACAATCAGGTACTTCTGCTCTACTTAGGCAGATGTGCCTCACATCCCTAGTGATCAGATTTACCCATTTCGTCTGTGGTGATACATGCCACTGCCCTCTGTGAGCACCTACTAGAAAATGAGCAGTGTAACAGACGGTTTCTGATTTCACCAGCATAAGAATGCTTTTGGCAGAGAGGGGAAGTAAGCACTGAAAACAGACTGAGAAAGAAATATCTATGCATGAACACAGACAGTGGCAAAGGTCACTAAGCAGGAGGAGCTGGAGTGGCTGCAGGGAAGAAAGGCATCATTATTGCAGAGGGAGGATCTCTGGAGAGTGTGGCCGTACTGGTTTGTAGGCAACGAGTACAGTGATTGCACAGTCTTTTCCTGTAATCATTCATAACACCCATGTTGGGGGTAGAAGGGAGGTGGAGAGGGACAGTGGAGAAGGCTGTCTGCTAATATCCTTCATAGGATGATTTTGAGTAGCTGACAGTGACCATCACCTCTCCCTTCATTTTGCTGCTTTGTCTGCTGGGAACATCTAAGGTATACATTGAAACTGAAAGTACACTGTAACATCACAGTTGTAAATCCTTCCTCTCCTTTAAAGACAAAATATTGCCAGACTGACAGTACTGCTTGGATGTCAGTCGCTGAGGTATCTGCAAGGAAACTGAAGGTCCTCAGAGAATAAGAAAGCCATTACCATTTCCCAAGTATCACTGATCACTAGGAGATGAGCTCCCTGTGCCTCGCAGGACTGCCGGCTGGAATGCCAGTCCTTCTTCTGCTTGGAGAAGGAGTAGCAGCTCCCTCTGTAGGCGACCCACTGCTCAGGGCAGCGTGGCTGACAGTTACCTGTAAAGGAATCCAAGTACCAGCTTTTCTCTACCATTAACCAACAGAAAGACACTTTTCAGCAAGGATCTGCTGAAAAGCAGCTCTTCTGGATATCTGCAATGCAGAAAACACAAGTGAGGAAAAGAATCTAAAAATAACAGTGTGTGAACACTGAACTTCAGATCCTCTGTGCAATTTCCAGGTATTTGTACAAGAGTCACATGCACTCTGATGCTGGTGCAACACTGTCTGCTTCCCCCTGCCCCAGCCCCACTGGGTTTCCTCCGAACTGCTCAAGGTACCTAAGAACCAAAATTGGCTATCTGAAAGCAGGCAGCACTCTGGGTGTGGAAAAAGTAAGGGGAAAAAATTACATCATCCTGTGGGTAAAGTGTGATCATCACACTTAGGTTGAACAAATTTTAAGCAACAAACAGTAGGTTCTTCCACATAGTCTGCACCTTCTGCATGCATGCAGAATTGTTACAGACCTTGTATCATTAACCTGTAGTATACCACTGTAATTGCTGCAGACAAGTCTACAGAAACCTTTCAGTATCTTTCATTGTTCTTTGCAACAGGTTCTGAAATGGGTTGCCTGGGGTCTGCACAAGGAGTACATTCTTCACAATATTCTGGATAGGCAGTTGCTACTTAAGGCTGGTAGAAACCTAGAATAGCTTCTGGTTTAACCCCATATATGGAATTCAGGATCTGAGCTCCTGTGTTTAGATGAATCTGTGGTCTTTGCTGATGGTTGCTCATCCTCAGCACCCCTTTGTGCACTTACTCATCTTCCATATCAAAGCAGTCGCTAGGGAGATGCTCAGTATCCCAAAGCCTATAGCCAAGCTTGGCACAACTTCTGGCCACAGACAGGGAGCTGTAAAAGAGATAAGAAACCATAGTAAACAGGAGCAACATGAAAACTGACAGTGGCTTTACACAGTTTGCTTGTGTCCTGGGCATTTCCATAAGGAACTGAATTACTTAAGAGACTGCTGTCTACACTCTGCACATCGCTGCCATCACTATGCCATCGCTGCCATTGCTGCTCCCTCCTTGGGAGCTCCCCACACCCCTGCCCACCACACCAGGGCCCACTTTCAGCTGGGCTAGAAGCCATCATTCCTTGCCTAAGCTTCCCGGGAGGTTTATGTGCCTGCAGGTCAGCCACATCTCAGCCCCCGCCTGTTTTATTAATCTTAGTATGAGAGCTACAGACAACAGCACTTTCTAAAAAGCAGCAGATGTGCAACTAATGGTTACTGATGTTGAGGAACCCAGGATTTCTCTGTGCTTCTCCCTTAAGCTTATCTACCACATCCTGCTCTTGTTGTGCTCCAGAGTCTTCTACCCAAGTACAGCAACAAAGTCCCTGATGAAGCTTATGAAATCTGAGGTGCTTCTCTCTCAGTCATGTCACAAGACCCAAAGAAACGTATCTGCCCTCCTAAAAAAGGCCAGGAGTCTAAGGAATAAGATGGACAAAGAGGAAGGCTATCTTTAACCAAAGACACTACCACAGCAAGTACATCTAAAACTTGGTGGAAGAAGGGCTGTGAGCAGCATGCCATAGCAATAGGATATGAAATACACAGGGAAGACAGACGGGGGTGTTCTCTCCTCAAGCCAAATTACAGTCAAATTAAGTTAAATAACTAACTGCATCAAGAAATAACAGTAACAGCATCCCCACAGACCAGGCGAATACTACAGGGTTGGAATTATATTATGGGCTGCCAGATAAGGATGGTGACAGCACTCATGAACCAGAAAAAAAAAGCACAACCAAAAACCAACAGAGCAACTGTGAGGGAAGCCCAATGATAACAGATGTCAATTGATCTCACTAAATTATGCAAATTCCATGTCAGGGCATGATGCTGAGACTGAATGCTTAGACACTGTCAATAGGCAACTCACAGAGCGGCGAGCCAAGAACCACAGAAAGCAAAGCAGCTCGTGACTGCCCTGAGCTGTGCTCAGGCCACACTGCTCACCACGGCTCCATCCAGCAGCTTCTCTGCCACAATGAACACAAATGCACCGAGATTCAACAGAGCCAAAATCCAGAAACAATAACAAAAAGGCACTGTGGTATAATGATTTCAGAATGGAAAACTACAGGAAAACGAGGAAGTCTGTCAGAGATTAATCAAAAGGAATGGCTAAAAGAATAACACAGTTGTGAGCAGTAAAAGTGAAGACTTTTATTAGGACCTCTCGGTGGAGGCTAGAAACAAATGCACATCACGTATCAAGAATATTGTGGGAAGGACAAAGCCAGCGCTAAAACAGAAGGGGAAGGGACTTCACTTGAAAACAAGAATGAACCCTTTAAACACTGGAAGTTTGTCCAAATACAGAAACTAGACCAGGTCAATAAATTAATACTAATTCACCTAGTTTGACCTTAGAGTAGTTTGCAAGTTCACCACTTTTAAGACCAGTTTCTGCTTTACAGTAATATGATATTAGAACGGTTTGCAGGCTCACCTAGTTTTAACTGGTTTTAAGACCAGTTTCTGGATTATAGCAATACATTTAGACCTGCAGGTTTGGCTAAAAGAAGTTTCCAAGGTAACACAGGAGAGCATGAAGGAGCTTCACTGTGTCATTCTTCTGGTAGAAAGATCTTTTCTAAGGTAAAGGTTTTGGCACACTTCCTGAAGCTTGCAGGATCTTCCAGCTGTCCCACTTGTAATTAAAAAATAGCAACTTTACTTTTTTTTTACAGAACAAAACCCCATCTCTTTTCAGTTACAAAATACAACTTTTCAGCTACAACCTACTCCTCAGCTTCATGCAAGCAGACAATTGGAGAACTGAAGGACTTGAACTCTGTTCCTCTTGTAAAGTCACCTTTGTGTCTCTGATGACCTGGGTTTTGCCATCAGATTGAGCCTTCAGAGAATGCAGATAGGCAGAGGTTAAGAGGCAGGGTGGAGCTGTTTCTCTGCAGATTACAACTGAAAACAAAGCAAAAGAGGATAAATATCCTTTGAGACATAATTCTTTGTTCTGAGATCACATTTATGAGGATTTGCACTTCTGTTTTCCTTCCTCTCTTGCCTCTCAAAGAAGCTATTTCCTTCATCCTCCAGACAGCTGGTCCTGATTTTAGGGAAAACTACTTCCAGGGATGACGGTCAGTGAAAAGGTTAATATTTAAATGTTAGCACTGGGCACTGAAGCTAGTGCCTCCTGGCAATGAACAGAGCAGTTCACCCTCTATTGTTTCAAACCAATTGCAGAAAAAAAGGAAATGACTGGACTCAGCATCAAAACAAAATCCTCGGGCACCTCCACATCCAGAGCAATGGAAGAGTTCACTTCAGTTGTTAAAAGTGAAAAAAATATGCCACCAGAAAATTTAGGGAGGAAAAAAGTGAAGTGGGAAAATCATATTGAAGTATTTGAGGAGAACTTAAGCCTCACTTGAACTTTAGTGATCAACCCAGGAAAGTGGAATTAAAAAGTCCATAAATCGAGATTTTTACCCCTTATGGAAGGGAGACCCTGCACTTTCCCTTCTTTAAAACAGGTTCAGGGAATTGTGCTCATCCCCAGGACTACATGTGAAGCTCTTGTAGAAGAGGATCAGAGAAGTATCTGAGATAAATTCGAAACACAAGAGAGAAAACTGGATAGAGCGTCCAGAAATATTTCCATGTAGTTGTCTGAGGAACTGTAGAAAAGACTCCCCAATGGAAGGGAGAGGGAACCTTTTACCTAATGTAAATATCCAGTGTTACAACCTTCTAGGATACAGAGCACCATGCTAGGTCTCCCAGTGCTCTGGAGAAGTGACTGTGACAGGCTGCAAGCAACATGACCCAATATTTTTAGGTTTGGGAATCCAATTTCAGTTCAAAATCTAAAAACTGTTAGCATTTTGTAATTCAAGTCTTCTAGGACAGTCTGAAGAACATCTGTGAACTGCCCCAAATAGCTCGCTCCCTTCAGCTCCTGCCTACGTCAGTAGGGGAGTAGCATGACTACCTAGGGCGAGGGAGGAAAATTTGAGAAACAAGGATCCTGTCCTTGGCTAAGGCACAGACCTGGTTATTGCTGTCACTACAAGGGTGCCGCACAGGCCAACATTGTCTTAAGTGACTGCTAGACTGACATTTTGGTAGTGTGGCATATCTAAAGTTCTCTGTAAGCCAAACAGAAAAAAACAGAACAACTCTTCATTTTCGAGGAGTCCACAAATGCCAAAAAGAGTCGGTTTGACCAGAGGACTGATATATACACGTGGATATACTTGCGATACTGCATCACAGGAATGACTTGGTAGCAAACGTGTGCATTTGAAAACAGAGATGAAATACCTGAGAGCATATCTCTCAAAAATAATGGAGGCAGGGACAGAGTAGAAAAAAAGATCTTCTAAAGAAAGGTATTTAAACTGTGCTCCCTAGGGACTCCTCACATGAAGAAGAGAGCTGGGAAATAATCAGATACTATGTACAGAGAGTGTGTTAAAAAGATCAGCTTCCTTATTTTATGCCCTAAGACTTCAGCTCAGAAAGATGATGGTACATGAGGAAATTTGGAGAGGAGGAATATTAAGAAGAAAACTGTAAAACATCTCAAGATGGCATTGGGTAATCTCCACCTCCAACAGGGTGGGAGTGAACACAAATGTCAGGGAATGAAGGGATGCCCCTGTGTCTTCTGATGCAACAGAAAACACTATTTCTGATGCATGCAAAAACAAGACTGCCTTCTTAGCAAACGAAGTGTGATTACCAGATAGGAACCTTGGGGATTTCTGTGCTGGTTTTGTTTCCATAGTGCAGCAAGTGACCAGGCAGCACTAACAACTACAGATATATGTAGTCATTCTGATCAGGGCATAGAATCTAGTATCCCACAGTGACAGCCCCCTTGGTAATAACAGCTTGGAAAAAAAGCTGAGGTAAAACATTAGTGTTGCAGCTAATGCAACACAACTTGTCTAAAGCACACAGGTGTTTAGAGGAAAAGAAATCAGCTCATGGGAAGGAGACACAAGGAATGATTACCAATGCAAAATCTCACTCTTCTAAGGCAGTATTTCTCAACTAAGCAGGCAGAGAAATTTCTGAGTGTGACATTTGCAAGGCCTGAGCTAGGGGAATGGAGTGGAAATAAGAAAACAGAAAATTGAAGGAAAGCACTAAGAAAATCTTCCTGATAGTAAAACACCCTGCAGGACTGGCTCAAGACAAGCGCTGGAAATTTGCTCACTGGGAGGTATGTAAAACCGGAACAGAGAAAACAGAGGAAAAAATGTATCACAGAATAATCCTGCAGAGCCCCACGGGAGAGAGTCTGGATGATCTCATATGCCTCTTCTGTCTCTGATCTCTGATTAGCATATGCCTCTAATTTATCTGTACTCACATCTCGCCTGCCCTTCAAAGAACTATTGCTGACAATCAGACAACTTCAAAACTGCAAATGTTTTTTAGAGAAAAGGATGCCTAGGTTGAACGTCCTGGAGTAGCCACCGAAAGGGGACTGACAGAGAAAGGGAGGGAAAACAATGCAGGGGCTCTGATCCACTAGCTTTTGTTACATTAAAATACTCATGGCAGTTTTAGAACCAAAGAAACAGCACCATAAGCAGGCACTCAATATCGGTGGCCAGCTCAGAGTGTAGATCTTGCTTTTGATCAATATAAAGTCTTTTGTTGACCTTCCTTACCTCTTTTTTCCCGTGCAGCACTGGTCCTAGGCAGAGGAGTCTGAGAGAATCTGACAGACGTATAAATTATTTCCTCATTCTCTTCGGCTGCAGAAGTTTCTGATCTGCTTCCCTCCATGCCAAAGCAAAGACTGTGTATGACAAGATGTTTCGATTGACAAGATGTTGAGTGACAAGGCTCAACACCCGTAAAACAGGAAACCTGAGGCTACATTCAGAAGACACGAAACGTGAATATGCAACCTCTGTTTTTAGCTGCTCAAAGTAACCCAGTCTACAACAGAATGGAGAGCAGTGGAAGTGTAACAACTTCAATTTCCTAACCTGATCAGGGATGTCTTATGACCAGTCATTAGTGGGAAGAGGTGATTAACCACAAAGTTCATGGGTATTTTAATTGTCGACAGTCCAAGAAGCTGTGATGACACTGCTGCAGTGACTGTGAAAATGTGTTGTGCTCTGCAGAGCTCCTTCTCAGGACAGAAGCAGGCTGATAGCAAGATCACAAGATTAAAAAGGTAAATAGCAAGAGTACAAGGTGAAAAATTACATAAGCAATGGCTACAGCAAACTGGCAGCCCAACTGCTGTCCAAAAGGAAGTAAAGTTGGACAGCATGAGTTTTAGAAGGAAGCCTTGTGAGCTTTGGACACTTCTACTGGGAACTCTGTCTACACCCAGCACCCAGTGTGAATGTGCTCATGGCATAGGCAGGCACTGAGAGGTGGCATACCTCCAGATCCTCTGATTCAACATCTCAACAGCATCAGTACAAAAGAGACATGGACATACCGGAGTCTAGCAATGGGTGACAAAGATGGTAACAGGACTGGAACGTCAATCTTATGAGGAAAGGCTGAGAGAACTGGGACTGTCTAGTCTGGACATGTGTTGGGGAGGATCTTGTTAACGTATATAAATACCTGAAGGGAGAGTACACGAAGAGATAGACTCTTCCCAGTGGTACCCAGTGACAGGACAAAAGGCAATGGGCACAAACTGAAACACAGAAGGGTCCCTCTGAACATCAGGAAACACTTTTTTACTGCGAGGGTGACTGGACACTGGCACAGGCTGGCTAGAAAGACCATGGTGCCTCCCTTCATGGACAGTTGTCTGGACATGGCCCTGGGCAACTGGCTATAGATGGCCCAGCTTCAGCAGGGCATTGGACCAGGTGACCTTGAGAGGAACCTTCCAAACTCATTCATCCTATGACTCTGTGGCCAGCAATAACAGGAAGGGCTAGCCTTCTTCTGAAGGAGCTGTTGTGGTTCAAACCCAGCTGGCAACTAAGTACCATGAAGCTGCTCATTCACTTTCCCCCTCCCACAGTGGGGTGGGAGGAGAATTGGGGAAAAGGTAAAACCCAGGGGTTGAGATAAGAACAGTTTAATAATACAATATAATACTACTACTAATACTAAATACTAATAATGAAAAGGGAAGTAAGAGAGAGAGAAAACTAAAAAGAAAAATAACCAGGAGTGATGTACAATACAGTTCCTCACCACCAGCTGAACAATGCCCAACCAGACCCAAGCAGTGATTGGTCCCTTCCAATTTCTATACTGGGCATGAGGTGCTGTGGTATGGAATACCCCTTTGGCTAGTTTGGGTCAGGTGTCCTGTCTGCTTCCTCCTGGCTTCCTGTCCTCCTCCTCACTGACAGAGCATGAGACTGAAAAGTGCTTGATCAGAGTAAATGCTACTGAGCAACAGCTAAAACATGGGTATGTTATCAGCATTAATCTCAGACTAAAGCCAAACCACAGCACTGCACCAGCTACTGGGAGGAAAATCAACTCTATCCCAGACAAAACCAGGACAGTAGCAAAGACTGACCATTGGTGAGTACCATTCAAGGTGTGCCAGGGGAAGATTTAGATTGGATATTAGGAAAAGTTTCTCCCCTGAAAGGGCTGTCAAACACTGGAACAGGCTGCCCAGGGAAGTGGCTGAGTCGCCATCCCTGGAGGTATTTAAGTGATGTATCTATCCCCTCAAACAAGTGCCTTCTCTAGCATGTTGACAAGTCCACTGAACCCAGCGTTTCTTTCTTGATGAAAAGATGCAAAAGCCTCAGAGCTCTGGCGAAGAACATCTGTCACGTGGAGACGAAACAAGGAGGCCCGAGGCCACAGAGCAGTTTTACGAGCAGTGGTGTCCCTTGCTTGGCGGTGCCTAGCGGGGAACAGCCATGTTCTGCTGCTGCCTTCGACACGGAAAGAGCCGGCAGTGGCTGGCTGCCGCTGGGAAGCCCTTCGCCTTTTCACGGGTCTGCCCGAGGCAGCGCGGCAGCTCGGCGGGACGCTCCGCAGCGCTGCGGGCCCGGTGACGCCCAGGCTGTCGCTCCGCAGGCCGCAGCCACGCCTCCCGGCCAGGAGCGGGCCGCGCGGCGCTTCCCCGCCATTGGGCGAGCAGCTCCCGCCTCCAGCCGCGCTCTGCAGGGGCGGCCGGGCGGGGTGCGCCGAAGGCGTGGCTGAACATCCCTCTGCGGACCTTCATCGGTCATTGGAAGAGAAGCGAGGGGAGGCGGGATCTCCGCGCCTTTTCTCACCGCCCATTGGATGGAAAGAGGAGGTGGGCCCCAGCACCGCCCCGTCATAGGCTGGAGCGGGCTTTAGGGGTCGCCCCTTTCCACCTCCTCTCTTCACTCGCTGAAGAACAGCCAGTGAGCGCGGCGATCCCGCGGCACTCGGGCTCCTATTGGCGGAAAGCGGCAGTTCCGCCAAGCCCTTCCTGCTTCCGGTTGGTGGGGTGGGTGAGGGGAGCCGGCGGGGGCCACAGGGGAGGTCGGTGCAGCCCGGCGCGGTCCGCGCCTGCGTTGCTCTGGCGGTCCCGTCACCGCCGACGGCGCAGCATGGGATGCTCTTGAGCGGCGGATCGCTCTTCCCTAGGGCCGGCCTTGCCACTGCCCGTGCCCGTGACTGTGCGAGGCGGGGGGAGGCCGGGCGGCTCCGGGGCCGGGCCGGCAGCAGGTGGGTGCGGCGGCGCGGGGTTGGCGGGTTGGGCTCCGGCGGCAGACGGGAGGGGGAGGGCTGGGGGTGGCACCGAGGCTGTTGGAGCCGCCGCGGGCCTGAAAGCGCGCCCTGACCAGGATGAGCGGCTCCGTCCCAGCGGCGGGCACGGCTCAGGCAGCGGTAACCGGCCAGGGGGGCAGCGTCGCATCCATCCCTTTTTACTTCAGGCTGAGTGCGAGGGAAGAGTTTGTCAGCGCTGTGACCGGCGCAGCCGCGGCTAGCGCCAAGGGCAGGGTTCTGCTTTTAGGCTTACAGGACGAATCACGAGTTCCTGTATCACAGGCTTCCTCATTTCAGCGTAACTGACCTTGTCGTCTGTGACCTCCGTGGCGGTCGGAGAGCTGGCTGGGTAGCAGTAGGCTTGCAGGAGCTGGGGGCTCACTGTTAGGTGCTGCAGACAGGCGCTGCCTGTTCATTTGCAGGTCTTGTCAACCCTCAGCATCTGGAGCTTTATTGAAGTCTGCAGCGGGAGAAGCTGAGGGAAATCTGTTGCATCACCGTGGTTGCTGGTGCAATCACTGAACGTTTCATATGTGATTTTTAGTGTGAGCTGGAGACCAAATTTCTAGATTGCATTAGTGTCTTCATTACTGCCTCTTCAGTTGCATGTTCCGTGGGACGTCTCAGTGTCCTCCTTCCCTTCTTCAGCTGTATAAACAGAAGAAAACTGTACTGTGAAGGTGCAGCTTACAGTTATTAAACACTTTCAGATTCTCAGCTAAAGTAGTAGTAAAAAGATATCATAATTATTCCTAAGTGCTGATTAGTTTTCACTCTCCTGCATAACTTGCTGACAGAAAAGCACACACATACCCACATTAGAGAAATGGAGTTTACAGCGTGGTTAAGAAGTATTTGTAGCCACAGGTAGAAGCGATTTGAAGAGGAGTCTTGGGTGACATGGTCTAGTGTGAGGTGTCCCTGCCCATGGCAGGGGGGTTGGAACTGGATGATCTTACGGTCCTTTCCAACCCTAACTATTCTATGATTCTAATTATGATTATTAAGATTAAGGCACTTGAACAAACAGATCCTGACTAATTGCAGTGGCTTTTCCCTCCAAGCTCTTCACAAAGAGCTGCAAAGAGGCTTGATTAGAGGCCTGGTTAATCATTTTCTGCCGACTGGTTCCTCAGTGCAGTGCAGTAACCAACAATGCCTTGTGCCTGAAACTTACTCCACTGTTCAGCCTGCTGGGCTTAACAGCAAAACTTGTGGTCCTGAGGCAAAATTCAGCAGAGAATCCCAAAATCAGCCCAGTGAACGGCTTGGCTACACAAGTCATTGAGATTTAGTTTCTGGGACCTGTTTCTAGATTCACTCCTTTTTGCAGTGAGGACTGTGGGAGTGGCCAGTCACTGACTCTGTGACCCTGAAGTTAGTTTGCAGGGGCTAAACCAGTTAATCCTCTGTGTTCTCTGTGATGTGCATGTGCAGGATGTCATCACCTTGCCATACCTCTGCTGTGCTGGTAGTTTTTATGGCCCTTGCTGTTGTGGGGGCTGAACAGTCAAAAGAGAGGAGTTGTGATGTGATCGGTGATGAAAGCAGCGAGTCGCAAATGGAAAGAGCCCTGCTGAAGAAACTGGAGCCCCTAAGCCCAATGAGGTACAGTACAACACCCTGCAGGCCCTGGAGCTGTGCAGTGCCTCCCTGAGGCCAATGGGAGGGGAGGACTTGGGGCCAGACTGCAGAAGGGGCTTCCCTGTTTCTAAGGGTGGTGACTGGCTTCCAGGTCTCAAGTGTCTACTGCTCTGGGCCTTGTTCCTTGTAATCCTGTGAGCTGTCTGTTCTGTCCTCTCCCTGCTCAGGTTTAACGTGACTGTGGAGAAAGGCAAAACGGAAAACTACGTCTACCATTTCAGAGTGTGCAGGGAGGTCAACAGCAGCTTGCATGATTTTGGTGGCCTGGTGCAAACAGATAGGCAGAACGGGAAGACCACAGTGATAGGAAGAATCAATGAAACCCAGGTCTTCAATGGAAGTAAGAGTCCACTCAATACTTGTCTTACTCAGTATCTGCCTTTTGTCTCCTGACTGGATTTGCAGCCTGTATTGTTTCTCTTTTGGCAGGTGACTGGATCATGCTGATTTATAAAGGAGGTGATTCATATGGCAGGCACTGCAGTGGTGAGAAGAGAAGAGCTGTGATAATGATTTCTTGCAAGCGGGGAGTTACAGCAGTAAGTGACACATGAGGTGGGAGAGGAGCAGGAGGCTGCCAGACAGATGGTTGATAAGCAGAAGGGCTTTGAGGAGGCAGCAAGGTTTTCTTCTGTCCTCCAGTGTCTGTTGCATAGCTGCACTAACAGTGATGAAAGTGTCTTCTGGTGAAGTTCACATTTTCACATGACTTCACTTTTCCCAAATTGCAGAGCTCATTCAGCATTATTTCAGAAGAGCGGGAAAAGGAGCAGGAGTGTTTCTACCTCTTTGAGATGGACAGCAGTGTGGCTTGTCCAGCTCAAGATTCCCACCTCAGCGTTGGCTCCATTTTACTGATCACGTGAGTCATTGGAAGAGCTGCTTGTGTCTGGGCCATAATCCCCAGTGCCATTTAGAAACACAGCAAATACTGCACTAAACTGGGTAATTGTAGTGTACCTGTCCACAGCCAACACTGGATGTTACTGTTCTTCTGAACAAAAGATCTTGCTCAAGGCATGATAGTGTCCTCAACATAAGAAGGACATGGAGCTATTGGAATAAGCCCAGAGGAGGCCACCAGGATGATCAGGGGCTGGAGCACCTCCCATACAAAAGCAGGCTGAGAAAGCTGGGGCTGTTCAGCCTGGAGGAGAGAAGACTGTGTGGAGACCTCATAGCAGCCTTCCAGTATCTGAAGGCGGGTGGGGGGGGGGGGGCCCGTAAGGATGCTGGAGAGGGACTCTTCATCAGGGACTGTAGTGATAGGGATGATGGATTTAAACTGAAACAGTGGAAGTTCAGGTCAGATATAAGAAAGAAATTCTTTACTATGAGGGTGGTGAGGCACTGGCACAGGTTGCCCAGAGAAGTGATGAATGCTCCATCCCTGGCAGTGTTCAAGGCCAGGCTGGACAGAGCCTTGGGTGACATGGTCTAGTGTGAGGTGTCCCTGCCCATGGGGGGTTGAAACTCAATGCTCTTAAGGTCCTTTCCAACCCTAACCATTCTGTGATGCTGCAGAGCTGCTTTGTTCCCTATCAACATTCTCCTTCATATTCGACAGACGAGCACGGAAGACATGATTTCCTAAAATCGTACAACAGCTTTTTGCCAGAGTTGGGAATGCAGACCAGCTTGACTCATTTTCTCTGCTTATTAGAGGCACTACTTCATGTAATGCTGCTGAAAGATTTATACCAGCATATCAGTAATTTGGGGGCTTTTTCTGCTCTGCTCTGGTCTCTGTTTACAGCTCTGTTACTGAGTGGTGCTCAGCTACTTGCTTAAATACCAATTTGAAGGTGGCTCAGAAGAGGTTGTCTTACAGAATTTCCTCAGCTTTGACTTTTAATTATACCTTCCAGGTTTGCTTCACTGATTGCAGTCTACATCATTGGTGGGTTCCTGTACCAGCGCCTTGTAGTGGGAGCAAAGGGCATGGAGCAGTTTCCTCACTTTGCCTTCTGGCAAGATCTGGGCAATTTGGTAGCGGTGAGTGAAAATCCCCATATATTTCCAGCAGGGCTCATATATCAGGACAGGAGAAAATGGCATCTGCCTTGTCGTTTTGGCCTGTGTTCTCAGGTAGACATACCACCAGGGTAGTATACCTTCAAGCAGAAGAATATGTTTTATTTTTCTGAAGTACTTTATTTCTTAATTATTGCCAAGACTGATTCCCTGCCAGTATCCTGCAATTACCACATAACTGGAAAACATGCTCAGTTGAGGTTAACACTTTCCAGCTAGGGACTTTGAAATGTTACGTCCAACTACCTGAAACACTTCCTTGGGCACTGTAGGCAGTGCCATTCATCAGCCTGACATTGCTGCATGCTGTTCATCAGTATGCCTAGAGCTTTCAGGACCAAGTAGGATGCTTGTAATGTGTGCTTCTCTTGTCAAGACAGATTTTGAGGACCTGTCCCATACAGCATAAGGCAACAGAGAAATGGCAGCAGCTGCTTTGCTTTGGGTGCTGAGTCAATTGCCTGCAGTCTGATTCTGGTACAATATCCTGTGTTGCAGGATGGCTGTGACTTTGTCTGCAGATCCAAGCCTCGAAATGCACCAGCCACATACCGAGGGGTGGGTGACGACCAGCTGGGGGAGGAGTCGGAGGAGAGGGATGACCACTTGCTACCAATGTGATCAGCTTTCAACATTGAGTTCTTTTCTCCCCATCTCCCCAGTTTAGCTGGGCATCTCCCAGCCAGTTCTCCTTCTCTTGCCCTGATTTTCTTTACACTCTTTACTTTCGCTGTCTCTGGTGCGCCAAGTCCCATGGATGCCTCTGGGTGTGAACAGAACCGGTCCCTGGTGGCATGTCTTGTGAATATAACACTGGTTTAGGTTTTTAAAAATGCAGCAGAGCTGAGGGGAGAAAGTGCTGAGACGAGACTTGAGAGAAGATGGCAAGAAAGCAATATGAGTGTTCAGCATGGGAGAGAAATCACCAAGAGATAAAAAGAACCATGGATGGGTGCAGAAAGGGGAAGGAGGCCATGGGTTAAAACAGCTGAAACTGTAGGAGGGATCTTTTGTGTCTTCCCTCTCACCCCTAAGGTTTACAGGATCCGTAAGACACTGGAATTCCTTTTCTTTGAATGCATTTTCAGTTTTTCTAGCTTTGCACTGCTTCTGCCAGTGTAACCTGCAGCGTGCTCTATGCCAGACTCTGTGGGGGTGGAGGAGGCATTGGCACCTCTGCAGTATTTTCTTTTCTTAATGGCAGTATGTAGAAGAGTACACACCAGTTTCTTTCAACAGATATAAAGGGATGCATGCCATCCTCTCAGACAATTGAGAAGGGGCAATGCTAAAAAAAAAGAGTTAAATACAGTCTCATGAATTTCTAGTTCAGTCACAATATTGTCTTGGCTTTCTCAAATCACTGAGAAGCAAAAGGAAATAAATGTGCTGCTAAGTAAAGGGAACATTTGCTGAAACTCACATGAAGGCACAATGAAACAGGTAGCTGCCACTCAAGTTCTAAGCTTCCTGAGGTGACTGCCCACACAGTTCAGTCACCCTTCAGCATTATGATTACATGCTCTCCAGAAGTTCCTTGTTTGGCAGAGGGTTTTCCCAGGAAGCTACCAGAATATAAAAAAATGAACCATAGAAGCCAAGGATAAGAGTGCTTGTGTAATAAAAAACTGTGTAAGGGACTCCTGCACTGCCAGGGTCAGCTTTCATAAATCATTGTCCCTCAAGCATGGTACAGATAGTACTTGGATACTGCTGCTGGCTGGGAGTGAGAGAGACCTCTTCTTGGGGCCCTGCTAAAAAGCAGGTACAGCCAAGTTGCAAGACTTCAGGAACTTGGTACCTTGATTCTTAATTGCTTTTTTTTATTTCAGGGGCTATACTCTTAAGTGATCCCATTCTGCCCTATTCTAGACTGGCAAGAACTGCCCTCAGTCTTGAGGGCAGAGACTGTGAATAAGCAAGCCACTACTGTTAACAGCAGAATACAGACAAGATTTATATATTTGTAATACTGGCAAAGCAGTCTGAATGGTGACATGGAGGGGGGAAAGGGGGGCCTTGCTTTCTTACTGGGTTTGGAGTGGGCAAACAGCTCCTGCTTTCTTTGACTTTTGTTACAGTCTCAATCTTCCTTATAACATGGGAAAAATAGGAAGTCACTAAGTCTGTTATTACTGGTTTTCATGGTGGTGTTTAAGGTAATTTTTTTTTGTACAAAACACAACTTTCAAAAATAAAATTAAAAAAAAAAAACAAACAAAAGACCCCAAAACTGGTGAAGTGTTGTGCTGCTGTAACAAGAGCTTTCTGTGGTACCAGAGCATCTTTCTTACCCAAAGGTGAAGGGTCCTTAGTGGGTGGTGCCTTGTGCCTGAACTACTCTTTCCCAGAACAGGCCTCTTCTTGTTAGTACATGTTTTTTTGCTGCTACCTCGTAGGGCTTAAGAGGGAGTGGTATACACTGCTTTAGAAGCTCAGGTAGTAAGGGATGGGAAAAGGTTCCTATGCTCTGTATCTTTCTGCAACAATAAAAGAGAAATTAACTTTTAGCAGCCACACCTGCAAAGCCTGAACAAGCTTTTTTTTTTTTTGTTAAGAACATTGAATATGAAGTGAAACCTCATTTGACTGAAATAAGATCCAGTCCTCAGAAGCAGTAGTACTGCAGGCAGGTTAGCTGCCTGCCTACCCTGCCAAGGGTCAAACTGAACTGGATTTTTATCATAGCCAGCCTACTAAGGATAAAATACTTCAAGGACAGCCTTCCTCAGCTGATTCGTGTTGAGAGATTCTAACCTCCCTTTTCCCTACCACCAAATTGTATCAGACCAAATAGCATTACCAGTGTGCAGCTTCTTTTGGGCCCATTCTCATTCTAGAAGCCTCAGAAGTTTTCTTTCACAGGAACAAAGGCATTATTAGAGTGAAATTCAACAGTACACTTAAGACTAGAAAGCTGCTGCCACATTTTATCCATCTTCTAAGCCATTTCCCTCCTCTTTTCTAATATGGGTCAATAGCGAGCCAGTTCCAAACCATCTCTAGTGTTTTCCTACCTATGCTATTAGGCATCCATTGTAACTACAGCTTTCCTGCAGCCATGGGTGCTTTCCACACAGTGTCTGTTTCACTCAATTATTCATGTGAAACTCCTGAAATCAGAAAAGCTGAGACACATGGTTTATAAAATCATGTTGCTTGCAGGTATTTAGCTCTAAGGGGCACTTAGCTCTTTCATGCTTTGTGTAATTTCTTTTGAGTTTTTGCCTATTTTGTTTGAAGAAGAGGTGCTTTTGGAAGAGAACTCTGCCCAGATTCTCACCTTTGGCAATCTGGTTACAAAACTAAAGAATACCACATTTGGTCCTTAAAAATAAATCCCAAACCTGGAGGGGCTAAAAGAGAGAGACTCAGCCTATAACATAATTCTACCCCCTAGAAGGCAGAAGTAGCATTAAAGGATTAGCATTCAGTTGTTGGAGGGTTGGTTGTTGGTTTTAACTGAGAAAGAGAAGTATTTGTTTTATAACACCAGCAACAACAACAAAACAGCCTGAGGCAGGTGATACAATCCTGCCAGCTTAAACTTTGTCCCAGAAACTCTCCTGAGGGTAATGAAGACAGACATAAAAATAATACAAACTGGTAAAAGAACACAAAAAGCCCAAAACAAAACAAAAACCCAGCCCATTGTATGAAGAGCCTTGGCGCTTCTGGAGACTGCTTTGGACCTGCAAATTACGCCCTAGCACAACGGGAAGATGAACCTAGTGCCTAATTTAAGACAATCCCCCTTCCCTTCAGTTTTCTAATCACCTTGTTCGTAAATACTCAGGATAAATCCTCCTTTGGTTCAGAGAGGAGCATCTGGAGTGAATAGCTGCTACAACACTTCATCTTCATTCTGCATCACTACATGAGACAGTAAAGCTTTGGCAGCTCCTATTGCCACAGGCCTTCAGGTTTGGTATGCATGCTGGAATGGCTATTAAACCCGGTTCATGAGCAGCCTCATGATTTTTTTAACAGTGGAAGAGAAGCAGCCCCTTTTATTCAAATTCTTGTTTGTCCACCTCTTGTCACTTGGACTTTACTAATTCCCCTTCCTAAATGCCCCAAGCACAGCTGCTCCCAAAGCCCATGTGCGGCCAGCTCTTCCTATGCCTCAAGTTCTGGCACAGTGAGATTCAAAACTAAAATACAGCAGACCTGCTGTAACAGAAAGGGGTGAGCACAGTTCCCTTTGAGAAGTCTGCTAAGACAGAAGTCCCCTTCATGTCTTTATGTGTTATAGAAGAGAGGCATATTAAAAATCAGGAAGAACGAGTGATGTTTCAAGGCCCCAGGAGGGAGTATTCCTCCCCATTGTAGCACCATTAAAAAGACCAAGATATGGGCTTGTTAACTGTCCACAGCAGTTAGTCAGTTAAATTCCTTCTCATTCTTGAATGCAAGACCACAGGGGGCTGTCCCATTCTTCCCTGCCTCAGCAGGATGCTTCAAAGCTGGCAGCTGCCCTGGGGTCAGAGCAAGAGTGAGACCTAAGCTTCAGAGCTGTTAAGTCTCCTTGAGGACGTTGATCTTGGCACATATCTTGAGAGCTGGTCCCAGCTTTATGTTCATGGCACTCATGAGGTGTTCCTCCTTCAGAAGCAACAGGGCCTGGCCATCTATTTCCTGTGACCGAAACTCCTCAGCAATCTCCTGGCACCCTGTGAAACCAAAAGAAAACAGCACTGAGACAAAATGTTCCCTGGGCACTCCCCTCATCCCCACTCTTGGGCCTCAGGCAGGTACAGAAAGCAAACTAGGAATATAACCAATCCCCCTCCTCACTCTAGTCCACAGTTTGCCTGAAGACACAGGCTACTTGAGAAGTACATCTATATGACCCACTCCCATTCAGAAACCTGTAGAGAAGTACAATAACAGCACTAGGCACCACTGACACCACTTTCTTTCCAGAAAGAGACCCAACAAATATCCCCATGCTACTGAATCACAGGAGTGCAGGAGGGGATCTTAACTTCACCTTGCAGTGATGCAATGAACTCGTATACTTCTTCCACACTCCAACGACTGGGATTGCTGGACAGGAAGACCGGGTTGATGCCATGTAGATCTGGGGTAGGTGGGGCCATGCTAGAGTTTGGCAGGTCCCTCTCTCCATGACTGGCCCTTACTGACAGTGGCCCTGGAGATGTAGGGGACAAAGCTTCATCATAGCTGGAGTTATCAGAGCCTCGACTTGAGTCTTCCTGGCCCTACAAGCCCAAAGGAAAGAAAGAAAACAAAAGGTGTTTTGTAGGAAATTCAAAATTACTATGTGCAAAACAAGACATTGGGAACAGCAAAAGTTGTCCCAGCCGTCTGGGTCACTGTCTCAGGTTGCTGGTCAGGGCAGCTGACATACGAGCTCAGTGATGCCAGAAATGGGAGACTTGACTCGCCTCCCTTCTCCCCATCCTTCCCCAGTCGATTCCTCTTCCTCACATGAGCACTGAAGCTCATTCGATTTTCTCTAATCTGATTAAAATCATTCATGTGGAAGAATGGTTAATCGAACGGGAAAAAGAAGACTGTTTCCTACCAAAGCTGATCTCATTCACTGATACCTCCAAGACACACACGGGAGTGAACACAGAGTGAACAGAACAAGTACAAATGTGAATCCACTTTCTTTAGTTGGTGAGTGATTAGAACAGCTCACTATGCCCCATGTAATAACTGTATTAATGTGTACCTGGAACAACTTTTACGTCTACATAACTGTGAGAAAGCAGTGCATCCAGCAGTGACAGCTTTACACTGAGACCTGCACTGACTATGTGCTTACCCTGTGGCGCTTGCCCTGGATCTTTGTTCGCGCGATGTCAGAGCTGCTGCGCCGCGGGCCCCGTCGGCGCACACGGGCATAGTTGGCTTCCTGGAATTCCTTCATCTTCTTCCTTTGCAGCCGAAACTGATGGCTGCAGCTGACATTATACCTCGAGTAAGTAGAAGCAGAGCAGCAGTTAGGGAACAGCAACGATATAAACCTACTGCTTCTCCTTGCTCTAGATGGGGATAAATCTCCTCTTTACCATCAAGTTCTGTTCCTCCTCCTAAGACTTACCCTTGGAAGGAACCAGTCCAGACTTCTGACTCAAGCAATATTTGGACAGCAGAGTCTTGGTCTAACATCTGAAGGGTCAATTAAGTCATTCCCCTAAGGGAAAAAAGACCCATAAAAAGCACTCTGCTATCAATAGGAGGCAGCAATGACTACTCTAACTTCTCCCCAGCTTCTTCTTTCCCAATGCTCCCTTACGTTTTTGTCTAGTACTAATGCAGCAGACAGCTACCAATATGCATTTGTTTACTCAGTCAAATCTGTAATTTGACTGAAGAGTGTTTTTTCAGATTTCCAGAACTTCCCTCATTCCCACTTCATTTTCTGAGCAAGTCAGAAACCCTGCTTACACTCAACACCACATCCACCTCTCCAGACCTAGAAGCATTCACAAATCACTGAGTCCTAAAGGATCTCGGTGGCCAGTGCATCCCATGGAGGGAGGACAGGATGTACTGACATGTTGTACGCTACCTGGAGAAAGGACACACACCCAATTCCGAAGAATGGATAGTCAGAGAAAAGGAAGATAATGTCTTACCTTTTAGCACAGGTCATGGAACAAAACCTTTTGGAGCCACGGAACTGGGTTGCTGGGGCATACTTCCCACAGTATTCACACTTGAGCAAGTTTGCCTTCTTATCAAGCTCTGGTGAGACAGAGATACACACCAGTTGATGGTAATACAGTATCAGAGTGCAGAAACTTCCAGTAACAGTACCTAGGCCTCCTGATCCTGAGACTTACCTACAGAAGCACTGTCCCCTCCTGGAGAATTGCTGGACAGGTTTTCACTATGGCCAGAAGAAGCCTCTCCCTGCAGTGGTTTCTCAGATTCTTTCAGCAGCTGAGAACAACCCACCTGGACAAGAAGAGAAAGAGCTGGGCCCATCAGTAAAGGACTCTCTGTGCCCACCACCCTCCACAGGGTATATGCTGCTCACACATTATTACAGCTCAGAAGAATCCCTCTGTCCACTAGGGGAACAGAGATTCTAAACAAAGTGATTACTCCTTCCTGACTTACCAGGCTGGCTGTTCATTCAAAGATCACCAGGTACTATTTGTCTGGAACATCCTATAATCCCAGGTAACCGCATTTCCCCTTCACTTGCTGCTTGTTTAAAGTACAGTGCATCTTTCCCTTACTAAAAGTCCAAAGAACCACCTTCTTGCAATTCGTACATGATTGCTTTGGGGACTACTGGAGAAAGCAGTTCCCATCACACTTGTTTTACTTCTTCCAACCTGTCCCCTTTAATGCTACCACTTAATGCCTTGCTTTGACCATGACACCTCCCTCCTTTCCCTTCCTCTTCACTGTCTCTCAAGGCTAAAAATGCTTGAGTTGGAACGTGCGGAAAGAAGCTCCTGTCCAAAGACTGAAGCCCACCACTCTCCTTCCTCCACAGCAGAGAATCCTTACCGGAAAGGGCTCTGCTCCTTCTTGGATGACAAAGCCTTCAATGATGTGTGTAAGGATCTGGGGCTTCACAATGGCTTGTGGGGGTTTGGAGTCTCCCACCTGACGTGACACCGTTGCCAGGTTTGGGGTGGGAGCAGAGGTGGGGGTGGCTGATGCTCCTTCACTTGAAGTGGTATTTGGGGTTGCAGTGGCAGCAGAATCGGATTTATCTGTAAAATTAAGTCACAAGAGTCTGTTACTTTTGCACTACTTCAGGTGGAATACAGGATTAGATCATTAATACTCGCAAGCAGAGCTTTCATTTGTACCTCACCTCCAAGGCTGCCCTTCTCCTCCACATTTTTGGGGCTGTCCATCACAGGAGAGGACCTGGCAGGCAGGAGTGCAGTGACACTGGGCGACTCCTTCTCCTCCTCCGACTCTGCCTTGCGCTTTACAGCTAAGGTCTGAGATTTACCCTGCGTGAATAAAGAGGAACACATAAGCAGAGAGAGGAGATCTAAAGCAAAGAACAAGACAACCCAAAGGCAAAAGGAAGATCCATCCTGCTCCACTTTATTTCATTTTCAGCATGACTCCTTCTCATAGAGATGCCTCTAGCTCCCTCACAGTACACACCTCTAGTTAGGAGCATTTGCCTAGCAAGGAGTAAAACTTCAGAAGACTCACTACCAAAACACTGTGTGAACCTCAAAGGATTATTCCAGAAAGAAAGAAATGGGATGGCAGTCACCCAGCAGTTTCCCAACAGGCTTGTGGCTAAATCAGATCAGTTTCAAAGGAGAGTCAAAAGAGTAGGGGGCACATGTTGGATGAGAGTAGAATTTTTCAAAGAGAGACAAATTCTGTGACACCTTCCTTAAGAAACGGCCCGTTTAGAAACAGTCTCAGCAACTGGCTAAGGATGGCTGAGCTGTACAAGTACTGCTGTCCCAGGGAGTTAGACAGGCCCTAGCTGCACAATTCAAAGCAGCATGGATGAGGCCTGTGGTACATCAACAATCTTTGTTTTCCTCTGCACAGTTACTAGGGAATCCTCTGAGGTCTAGAGTTGGTGGCTGGTACCACACACCATGGGGTCTCTGACCTGGAGGTATCCACACACCTAGTGAGAAGGGAGTTCAGTCACAGACCACTCAGCTTTCATCTCTCTCCTGAGAGAGACAAAAGAAGCCAGTTATTGTTTGTAGTGGGTTTTACTTAGCAAGGTTTTGGCAGCAAGGGGCTCTTAGGGGTAGCTTCTGTGAGAAGAAACGAGAAGCTTCCCCCATGCCTGACACACCCAGTTCCAGCTGCCTCCAAGACGGACCCACTGCTGGCCAAAGCTGAGCCCATCAGTGATGGTGGTAGCACCTCTGAGATAACGTGTTTAAGAAAGGGTAAAAAACTGTGTTCAACAGCAGCTGGGATAGAGGAGTGAGAATACATGAGAGAAACAGCTGTGCAGACAGCAAGGTCAGCGCAGGAGGGAGAAGGTGCTCCACGCTCTAGAGCAGATTCCCCTACAGCCCATGATGCTGACCACGGTGAGACAGCCTGTGCCCCAGCAGCCCATGGAGTTCCATGGAGCAGCAGATCCACCTGCGACCCGCAGAGGACCTGACACTGGAGCAGAGGGATGCCCAAAAGAGGCTGTGACCCCATGGGAAGCCCACACTGGAGCAGGCTCCTGCAAGGACCTGTGGCCCTGTGGAGAGAGGAGCCCTCGCTGGAGCAGGTTTACTGCAGGACTTGTGGTCCCCTGTGGGATCCACACTGGAACAGTCTGTGCCTGAAGGGCTGCACCTCATGGAAAGAATCCATGCTGGAGCAGTCTGTTCCTGAAGGACTGCACTCATGAAAGGACACACGCTGCAACAGCCTGTTCCTGAAGGACTACACCCCACAGAAGGGACCCACGCTGAAGCAATTTGTGAAGACCAAACTGAAGCAACTGTATGAAGGACCAATGCTGGAGAAGTTCATAAAGGATTATCCCATGGGAGGGATCTCATGCTGCAGCAAGGGAAAAGCATGAGGAAGAGTGAGCAGCAGAGATAAAATGTTTTGTACTGACCACAAGCCCCATTCTCCATCCTGCACTGCTCAGGGGGAGGAAGTAAGAAGGGTTGGGAGCAAAGTTGAGCCTATGAAGAAGGGGGAGAGATGTTTAATTTACTCTTACTTCTCATTATTCTACTCTGATTCATTTGCAATAAATTAAATTGATTTGCCTAAATCAAGTTTGTTTTCCCCATGATGCTAATTGGCAAGTGAACTCCCCGCCCTTATCCCAATCTACAAGCTTTTCATCCTATTTTTCTCTGCCTGTCCTGTTGCAAAAGAGTGATGGAGCAGCTTGGCAGTCACCCAGCAGCCAGCCATGGTCAACCCATCACATTGAGAAGCATGATCTTTAGCATGCAATGTGGACACATACCACAGTTGGGTCAGGGGCTGAGTCTCATCTATTTACTTCATGCATGCCTTCGAATGATAACATGGAAGATAAATGGCTGTAGTCAGTAACCCCAACGGCTGGATTGGAATTAAGTGTTTTCGAGGGGAAAAGGTCTCCATGTCCCTTTACCCAAACATCTTAGCCATCCCACTGACCTGGGCTGCGATTGGTGTCCTAGGAATGAACAAAGAGAATCCATATGCTATTCTCCTTCTCAATGGTATCACTTACTGGCAACTGGACAGACTGCATGTAGAATGCTGCTGGCATCTGAGCCACAACTGGAGAGGAGGCTGGGCTCTTCACCATATGGGCTGTGCCTTGAACTTGTGCCAAATTCACCCCTGTGGTGAGAGGGGGAGCTTCCTGTGAGGATGGTGGAGCTGAAGATGACGAAGGGGAAGCAGCAAGGGCTTGGGAAACAGGCTGGACCACGGCTGGCATTCCCCGGGACGCTGGCACTGCTGCAGCAATCTGAGCCAAACCCAGTGCTTGGGCTTGGCCTGAGCCCTGCTGCCGAGTACCCACCACCTGCACTGGGATGTGTGGTGGAGGTTGCTGCACTGCTGACATTTTGGCAGGCCCAAGCTGAGGTGGCTTGATGGGGGTGACCAGAGATTTGGACTGAATTGGAACAGGTGACTTGGTGGCTGGCTGGCAAGGACTGTCCTGCTGGAGCTGCACAGACTGTGGCTGGGACTGCAACATAGGTTGCACCACAAGGGTCTGAGCCTGCTGCTGGTTTTGAGGAGGAGCCTGCTGCTGTGGAGGTTGAGCTTGCTGCTGCTGCTGGGCCAGAGATGGTGCTTGTTGCTGTTGCTGCTGTTGGGCCAGCTGAAGATGGGTGGCTGTGTGGAGGAGCTGGGACTGACGGTGCTGGAACTGCTGCTGGTGATGAATGGCAATCTGCTGCTGGATCACCACCTGCTTCTGCAGGTGGATTTGCTGCTGCTGTTGGATCAACGAGTGTGGCTGTATCTGTGTGTATGTGGCTGCACAAACAGAGTGGAGGAAGAAAAGGAGAGCACACAAGTTATCAGTAGTGCAGCTGGGAACTACAGCAACAGAAGTAAAAACAAACCCACAAAAGGCAGGCAGCCACTTCATGGCTTGTCATTAAACTCCAAAATGACTGACAGCTAATTGGCAAAGGACATGAAGGACAAAATCAACTTCTTTTGGTAATGCAGAGGGATAATCCCCAGAGACAAGCCTTCAGGAGTCCAGGGGCTAGGAGTCGTGTAGGACAAGGTGTCACTGCTGTGCTGTCAAATGGCACTCCTGAAAAAGCCCACAAGAAGGAAGAAGTCTGCACTTACCCGAGCTGATGAGTGTCTGGCTGGGTGCTGGTGTAGCGGTCCTGGTCAGGTTCATGCCCACTGTTTGCTGTCCACCACTGTCTGTTTCTCCCTTCTTTGTGGCTGCATTCTCTGCCTCTGTCTGGCTTCCCTGGCTAACTGTCACAGCCTGGGCAGCTGCCACTGGTAATGGCTGAACCACCCCTGTGCCTTTCCTTTGGCAACTGCCAGCAGTGCCTGCTGAGGAGGTCTGGCTCAAGCCCGTTGAGGTCTGGCTCCCACCACTTGCCACCACACCCCCAGAGATACCGTTGCTGCCTGCTGCCCCCTGGCTCAAGTTGAGGGACTGGCTTGAGCTGCCAGAGGAGGCCTGAGCCACTGCCAAGGTCTGGCCCGTGCTGGTGGCCTGTGGTAAGCCCGAAGCCTGGGAGCTTCCTGGCAGAGCTGCCTTCTGAGCAGAGCCTTGGAGCTGGGCATTGGTAGCTGAGGTCTGTTGGCTCCTCACAGCCAAGTTCTGCACCTAGAAACACATATACAAAACAGAATCTGTTTGCTTTACATATGTTACCTGCTGGAAGCTTGGTGGAGAATACGACACCCTCTACTGGGATGTGGGCTAAGCTGGTGTTTCAAATCTCATGCGGGGATCTGACTAACACTGCAGAGCAAAGCTCAGGCATGGGCCTCCCAGGAAGCACATTATACGCAACTTCCTCCTGCCCCATCTCTGATGGAAGTTAAAGATCTCGTGGCACTTTCTGAACAGCACATGAGGACACTGCCATTTTCCAAGGCATGAGACAGCCTTCAGACCTGCGTGTCATGCCTTTGCATAGGCAGGACCCAGTTTAGCCCAGCTCCAGAAGTGCTGAGATGATACCCTTTTAATGACTAGTCACTCCTTTTCAAATTTTGTGCCACCTGCCGTCTCCTCCTGTGCAGGGCTTTCCACTCAGCAGGCCCACAGATCTACTCATGCCCTGAAGCCCTTCTGATTTCACCGGTTCCTCTGCATTCTGGTGCTGCCATCATCTGTATTTACTCCTCCTGCAGCATTATCTTCAATTTTGATCATGGCTGACTTCCATTCCAAAAAAGTGCTCCAGGCAAGAAAAATATGAAGTAATGGTAATTCCTAAGAATGACTGGGACAGGACAAGAAAAATGGGAAGCCATGGCAGCTCCCTTACCTAGGGAATGACTTGCACATGAATGCAGGCGCTAAGACCTTGTGGCCTGTTTGGTCTTTCGCATCTTTACAACAACAAATAACTGTGAAAGAATACTACCACTGGCAAAGACTCTTCATTGCAGAATAACTGAAAGCTAGACATAGAACTCAACAATTCTTTTCACAGAAGGACAAATGAGAAACTGTGAAGCCTATAGCTCACCCTAGAAATTAATCCAATCTCTGGAGGCAAAAAGCAAACGTGGAAAAAGAAAAGGTGGTAAGAGAACAGAACCTCTTGTCTGGACAAGGAACACAGCCTGGGGATAAAGTAGAGCTAATCTGCCATACAGGGATGGCTGGAGACAAAGACCAGAGTGTGGAGTGATGGAGAGCAGGGGAAGGGAAGAACTCTGGGAGCGGGTGTCACTGACCTGGTCTGTGTCTGCATGGACCCCAGGAGACTGTGTGGGTGGTACCTCCTGCTGCACAGCGGCCACAGCCCCGTTGGGCATCAAGATGAGTTGGGAAGCAAGAGGCACATTGCGGCCCAAGGTTCGGTTTACCTGCAACAGGTTCCCCAGCTGTGGCTGTTGAGGGAAGGTCAGGTGATGTGGAATGAAAGGAACGGATGAGGAGAGAGAAAAAGACAGCGAACCACAAGCAAAGGATTACAAAACAACACTGGGCTGCAATGTCACACACTGCAAAACCCCCAACCCTTGCTGTGCTGTAACACTGAACATAACCCTCAGAAGCATGAAACTGGGAACTGCTTCCTTGGGAAAACAACCCCTTGTCTATCAAATGTGGGGTCAGTCCAACTCTCACAGACTGCCCAAGGCTGGCTAAAAGAATGGGGTGTAATTGAATTTTCAGGTATGTATCTGGGACTGGTTGAGAAACAGTGATTAAAAAAAAACATACATCCAAAACCAGAGTTGATTTAAAAGAAAGGGATTACAATCTGTAGCTAAAGTTAACTGAGACAAAGAAAAAATATTTAAAGTAAGTAACCAAACCCTAGACTGACTATATTGTCCAGCCTAGTGTTTTCTGTTTTATCAGCACTTCAAAATGATTAAAAGGATGACATATTTGGTCAGGTTGATTTATGTTTCTAGACTTACCTGAATTCTGATTTATGGCCCTGAGCTCAGCAGTACTAGAAGAGAGTAATTTACCATTTATCTTTTCCAGCATTGAACCAGAAGAGTAGTTTTGAACTCTATTCAAGGGACATGTATTTCACATTTACACTCTAGCGAGAAGTGCCATGGGATCTTTAACGTCTATGCAGAGCAGCGTCAAACATGGTTCTTAATCTCACCTGAGCCATAGAATACAAGTGTCATCTACCCTCAAAAACTGAGCCCAGAGTCAAACTCGTGGTTTCAGGGATAAGAGCTTCCCTATCTGAATTTAAAATATAGTGCATCATCCTTAAAGATAGTTAGTCCAAAGGTGTCTGTAATCCCCAGCAGTGAAAAACTGAAGTGGTTAGGAAGTTGGGTTCATGGTCAGGACATATTTTGGGTACATATCTCTTACCCGAAGATACATCTGGGCCTGTGACTGGTTGAGGGGTGGTGAGGTGGTGTTCCCAAGGAGCACAGATTGTGTCAGGGTTGTGGCGCTGGGGGAACTCACACTCTGTGACCGACTGATTAGCTGAGCAGCTGATGTGGTGGCTAGGTTGATCTTAAAAGAGAGAAAAGCCCCAAATTATATATGAAGAGGTGGAGGCAAAGAAGTACAAATTCACTTTTACAGCCAGAACAGACATTTTAAAGTTTTCTTCCTGTAATCCACAAGGAAGCAAGAAGGAAAAAGTTCTTGTCTTAGAGACTAAGCAATACAAACTAGCCAAAGCCCTGGATGCTAACCTCATTTGTATGCTGAGCCTGAGAATCATTGTTAGCATGCAAACGCAATAAGAGAACCAAAAGAAATATATCATTTTCTCCAGCCTCTCAAATAAAGGAAAAAAAACACAAAATAATCTCTACCCTACCAACTCATCTACTCTCTAAATAAATCCCAGTTTCTCAATACAACAGAACCAAACTTCCTCTCATTTCTCATTCAGCAAACTACTGCTTAGCCCAGAAAAAGAGGATTCACTTTCAAGATGCTCATGACTTCTTAGAAGTCCTGATCCTTTTCTAATATGTGATAATCCATTCCCAAAGTCTCAGCAGAGACAGTGTCCGCCTTTCCAGCTAAGAAGCTTCTCCCACTCACAAACTTTCTCCAGTTTCCTCAACCTTCACCAATGACAGCACCCCAACTCCTCAAAGTTGCCTGCATCTTGTGGATTCCCAGCATTCTTAGCTTAGCTGTGTTTCCCTGGCTGACTGCCTTCCTAAAAGGCAAAGAGGAAAAAGAACAAGGCAGGGGGTGGGACGGAACAATTACTTACAGAGGCTTGTGTGGTGGTGGTCTGTTGTGGGGTGCTGGTGTTGGGGGAGCTGGCCTGTCTACTGGCTGCAATTGTAGCCTGCAAGAGAGATTGACAAGAGACATGAGTACCTGGAACAAACTTTTCAACCCAGCCCAAATAACTGGCTTTGTCCAAACACCTAGTCACATCATCATCTTCTCCCATTCCTGAGGAGAACAATCTAACCACTACAACTCTCTGCCATGCCCTACAAATAAGGTGCAGCAACTCAGCAAGGTACCTCTTCCCCAACCAGTTCAGTCCTGTACACTACCCAAAGCAGTGGACAACTGATCCTTACAGTGCATGTCCTTCCACCCATGGAACACACTCTGCTGTGGCCCCAGCTTGCCATGCTACACACTGCAACACTCACCCTGATGCTACAATTAACTGTTAACACCCAGACATTCCCCTTAATATTAGCCATTTGCTGGGCTGGTTCTGCAGTTTATCACAGTGCTGCAACACACTCCAAGTAACAAATTTCAGCTTACAGCACATATTATTTGTGGAGAAATGTAACTATTGTTAATTTGGCAAGGGGGGGGGGTGCTGGTTACCCCTCTATGATCCCACAGGAATTCCACTGTACAGTTTAGTCAGGTTCATAACTAAGATTTGTGTCAAACTGGTGAGAGGATTTTATTCCCTCTATTCTAGAAAACTGTAGGTAGGGATTTTGAGAACAACTAAATCCTGGACTACCAGCTAAGGAGCACTTCTACTGAGATACTGTTACAGAGACAGAATTGTATTCACATCATATATAATCCATCTTCAACTGATGATAAAGTCTGTTAGGTGAGCAAAGTTGCTAAAGAAGAAATGAAAATCGGTCAACAATCATGCATCATATCTTGATTTGTATAAACATATCTTAAAGAAACATTGTCTTGGCTGGACAAGATCTACCCCAGATCACTCTTACAAGTAACTGGTAAAGAAAACATGGGCTAGTAAGTTTCAAGACAGAAAATTCAGAGGATACTGTCTGAAATTTCATGCACACAAGAGCATGTTTATTCTCAGAGAAGTAACAATCCACTGTTAACTTTAATATGATTTTTAAACACCACTACATCCATTTCTGATTTAACTACCCATCTTTTTATTTAAAGATGGTGCAGGGGCTAGTCACAGGCCTCTGGAGTACAAGTTTCCTGATGGGGATGCCAATTTTTACCTTCCCCTGCTCTAAATCTGTAATCCAAATGAATATTTACATCAGGCTTCCAGTTTACTAGCTGTTTGCATTAGCTTTTAAAAATGTGTTTAGGGACCCATTGTCTCATCGTGGATCAGGATGACTCCAGTGCACAAGTTACTGTATGAAGAGAGAATATCTAGATCTTCCCCAGAAAACAATCCAATTCCTCTCCTTTTGACCCCTGGCAACTCACCTGCTGGACAGCAGCCAGGCTGTGAAGCTGGGCACTGTTAAGCTGCTGCTGGAGCATAAACTGATGAAAGTACTGGGCTGCATTGGGCTGTCTCTGGAGTGCCTGCAGGGCCTGGGGAAAGAGGAAAACCCAATTGTCAAAAATAGCATGCCCTTGGAATGTGATTAGAAAGAGCAATGACGAAATAAATAACAAGCATGAGACCATCCCTAGACGCCATGAAAAAGCAAAGTCACTAGATTAGCACATGAAAATACATAGTATAGCTACAAATTTTGTAACAGACTGAATCACAGCTGTATTCCAGGACTGCGGGAAGCACACTTGCAAGACTTTAATAAACTCCAAGGAATTTGGAAGTGTGCATGCTCAAGCAGAGTGACAAGTGTTCCAGTATAGTACGTATATAAACTACATAGAGAAACTGTGGTGATAAATTGAATGACTTGCTCCAAACCAGCAGGGTAAAAATCACTATTGGATCTAGGTAGTGATTAAATCTAAGAGGCTGGACACTGGAATAATATCCTATAAAACATGACACTAGTATCAGGGCACAGGATCTAAACATTCAACCTAGCACAGGAATCTCTAAATCTGAAAACATGACAGTCCTTCAAGCATACTCCCACCTTGACTCATGACAACTCAAAGGAAAATGCAAGGGCTCACCACCACCCTCCACTGACGCACATGCCAGCCCAGAACATGACCACACCTCACCTGTACTGCCTGTCGCTCATAGAGAGACATCTGCGATATTTGAGGACGGGCGCTTCCTCCAGAACTGGAGCTCCCGCTGGTGGAGCTGGAGTTCTGCTCACTTTCAGTCTCCATAGTGACAGAATCCCAGGAGCTTGGGACGAGACAGACTCCAGATCTACATCGAAAGAATTAGAAACTAATTCAGGCTGGAGAAGGAACCAAACCATATTTCACTGAATTACACAGCTTTTTAACTGGAATATCCCAGTACCGGGCTCCTTGCATAGCTTTGCTACATCACAGGGCATGGGAGATGCCAGAGTTCTGAAATCACACAGAAATTATACTCAGTTTAAATCTTTTATTACTGCAGTCAGAAATGGAACACACATATTCTCATATTTTTATTGCCACACTACAGTTGGAAGCTGCAGCATTCTGAACTCTTAAAAAGGCATCAAAGTGAAGGAGCAGCTGCAGCTCATTTAGACAATCATTTGGCTGCAGACCTGATTGCCTCTCCTTCAAGAGGCCAGTTAACTGAGGCCAACTGCTTCCAGTCTCCCACTGCACTTCAGCAACTTCTGATCCTCTCTTCCTCCAGCCCCAAAGAGGCATAATTATCCCAGAACTCTACTGCCCTACTGCAGATATACTGACTCAGTCCCTCCTTCTTCCAGTTTAGCCCCCAGCCCTGGACCACTTCTTTATTTCTCTGATCACACAGACTTTCCAGCTACCTGTTGTTCTTGACAGATCATAACTTGCGTTATTAGACTGGAAGCTGGTATCTGTGATGGCAAGCTGCTTTCAGGAGAAATGGAGTCAGAAGCAGAGTGGATGAAGGGTTTACTGGCAACGCTTGTGAGGGGAAAGCTGCTAAAGATATCATGCAGAGCCAGAGACCTTCCAGTAGCAGCAAAATGCACTGCAGTGAACCGTAGGACTGAAAAGGGACTGGAGAAGGCTTTCATCAGCCAAGAGGAAGAAAAGCAAGACTGAAGAGAGCACTTAGTAAGTGACACCTTGGGATGATCAGGGAGTTTTTCTGCAACAAGAAACATAGACTCTACAGAGAGTAACAGTAGAAGGAGAGTCAGAAAAGTGCAACAGTGGCTATTCAACAGAATTCCACTGAAAAAAAAAGTGACTTTTTAGAAGGATATAATTCCATGTAAGATTATAAAAAAAAAAAGGAAAAAAAGGCTTCTGATAGTCTCAATATCACCGACAGCCTATTTGTTTCCAAAAACCAGCTGTCTCCCCGTGACATATCTGAGAGACCTCTAAATGACACCCTCTAAAGGAGCTTCAAGAACCCACATCACAAGCACAGGCTCTGTATCTAAGACCTTTTCAAGTCCAGAGATTCTGAAATTCACAGCCTTCCCCAGGCACAACTTTTTCCAGGTGCCTAAGCAAACAGATCAGTACAGCAGAAAAGGAGGAACAACAGTAGACTCGACCAGACAAGTTTTTAAATTCTGGAATGGTGTTAAGGGCAGCAGATGACTTTAAAGTAGGGCAGTTCTACAGTTCCCTGATTTTGCCAGCTTTCCTCTGCAGAGTAAATGCTTTCCAAACCTGCTCCTCAAAATCTGGAACATTCTATCGTTGACAAGCAGATACCTGCTGCTCCAGTCCTGTTTTCCCCATGCATCTTTACCTATGCCCTCAAGTCCAGCAGGCATCTCCCTGCTAATCCAACACTGGCTTCCTGCACTGCTTCAGCAGCAGCCATGGATAATTCTGCAGTCATCATCTCAACTGAGACACATGCCCTCCTAACTGACCACTGCTGTCTTCAGGCACAAGCTGTTACAGCTGGACACAAAGCTCTGGAGAAGACAATTGCCACAGAGATCTTCCTCAGGGGGCAGCACCACAAAAAGTAAATGAAGCCTGAAAATATAAAGGAGGGAAAGAATACAGACTTTCTGAAAGAAAGAAACTGTGATAGATAAATGAAGTACTTCAAATGGGGTTAAAATGCAAGTCACATAGAAGTTATACACACTGCAGCAAGTGATCTCGTAGCTCAGTTACCATTAGGAAACAATTTCTGTTCCCTTGGCCATGCTCAACCTCCCTGTGCAGGTCCCTCCCAGCATTTACCTCATTGCTGGCGCTCACTAGATCAACTTGTTAACTTCGCAAAAAACCTACTCTAAACATCACTTCCTGACAGATCAGTTGAATTAGTTTACTTGTGATGCTACAAGTGCCAGTGAGAGATAAGAGAAGGTATCTAAGAAGGTTCAGCTTAGCTGTAACACATACCCCCACCCTCAACAGTTGCATCTGACTGCGAAACCTAGGTTCTGACTCAGTGCTCTGCTCCAATCTGTATTTCCTCAGTAAACAGCACCATTGAGTGTTAAGATTAACAGCAAATTTGAGAGTTCCACGTTGATTTACATTTTAAAATCAGGTCCAAGCACAAAGAAAATCCTACTGAAACACCTTCTGGGATGAGAGGCATCAAAAAAATTTGGTTTCTGTGTAGGCAGAGCAGCTCCATGTAAGTGCAATTCGATCCAAACACAGGCTATTCCCACACAAAATAGCAAGGATTAAACCCTCCCCCCTCCTCCAAGTGCATCTTCCAGCACCCTCTCCTTACAAAATAATAGTGATCAGCGCTATCAGATCAGTTGACTGAGCTAGCTGCTCCTCGAGCTGGATAACCTACTAAAAATGATTAAACCGTGGGTTTTCCAAACTATCTGAGTTAAACAACTCACCTTGAAAACGTAATGAGCAGTTCCCAAGGGGAAAAAAAAAAAAAAAAAGGAAGAAAAAACCGAACAAACCCAACAATACAAAAACCCCACATAATAACAACGTGACCATTACTGGAAATTAACCTTTGAACAAACGCTAGAACTGCACCCCTATTAGGCAGACAAGGAAGGATACAAAAGCCTATTAAGACCATGGCAGGAATAACATGGGAATCGGCAGGGAAGACCACAGGAGAAAGAATGGGAAGGAGAAGGGAGAAAACTAGCTCCGGGAGCCATACAAGCATGAGAACATGGGCCAGTCCAGAGCCTAACCCTCAGTGCTGGCCCCAGCACACACCACACACACCACGGGCTGTCCATCTACAAGTTCTTCACCTCTCTCAAGTGCAAGAGCAGAAGAGCCAGGCCAAGCATCTACTCCAGTCACTGAACACTACTGTAGGAGGTAGAAAAGTTTTACTCGCTCACCCCATCTATTCCCCCGGCATAACTGCTGCCTGAAGAACATCTACTAACCTTATAACTGGTTTTGTTACTTTATCCTTAAGAATATAAGTTAGGGAACAGCAAGATTTGCACATGCTTGTCCCACAGATTTTGGGGGAATAAAATTAGCAACCAGGAGACCATAGTCCACTTCTCGCTCTCTTACTGTTTTCTACAACACAGTCTCCAAACTACCCAAGTAAAGGCGTGAAACTGCCGGGTCACGCCAACTCTGCTCTGGGATGCTCTGGAAGCAAGCGGCAGTCGCTGCGACTTCCGAGCACCGCAGGACCTGCTCCTCACCCGGTGTACGCGCCCTGCCACCGCCTTTCTAAGCCGAGCGCCCCAAGCACCCGGGAGCAGGGTGAGGAGGGACGGGACACAGACACGGGGGTCAGCGCGACGGCAGCATCCCAGGCCGCCGGCAACTCCGGCACCAAAGTTAAGCCGACAGCGAGTGTGCAGGCGTCCTGCCCGCCACACGTATGTGCCGTGCACGCAGCCCGGCGCGGCGGGAGGGGGGAAACCGCCGCAGGATGCCCGCCGCGGGGAGCCAAAGAAAGGCGCGTGTTTGACGCCCGGCCACCGTCAGGGGGAGCGGCGGCTGCCCAGGAGGCGAGAGCGGGGCTACGGAGGGGAGCTGCTCCCGGCCGCCGCTCCCGGGGCCGGCCCGCGTTAGACAATGGCTGCTCCACCGCCGCTGTCAACTTCCAGCCCGCCCCGGCCCCCAGGGGAACTCTCCCCGCCGCGCCCCGAGCCCGGCCTCACCTGCAGCAGCAGCAGCAGCAGCCACCACCGCCACGGCACTGCCCTGCCCCACTCCGCTCCGCAGCGCTCCCGCACCACGGGCACCGCCCCCCGCCCCAGGGACCCGCGCTACCGGAGCCGCGGGGCCGCCGCCGGACACGCCCCCCGCGCGCGGGCAGCAGGCCGGGCCCCGGCGGGGCGGGGCGGGGCGGTGCCCGGGGGGCCCCGTTGTTGGGGAGGGCGGGGCCGGGGGCGTTACCTCGCGGCGGTCCCGGGGAGGGGCTGTTGCTGAAGGACCTGGGTTCAAGTCCCGCCGGGGCCTGGGTAGGGGCCGGGGCCTTGCCTGGGACCGAGGCCCGTCCCGCTCCCCCGCCTGGCGCTGCCGGGGATCGGGGTCGGTAGCTCGGCTGCGGCCTCCTGCCGCGCGTGCAGGGCAACGGGAGCAAGGCATGAGGATGGAATTAGAGAACCAACTCGGTTGGAAAAGAGCTTTAAGATCATCAAGTCCAGCTATTCCCCAGCACTGCCAAGGCCACCACTAAACCATACCTCTGAGGGCCTCGTGTACACGATTTGTGAACACTTCCCAGCGATGGTGACTCCCCCACTGCCCTGGGCAGCCTGTCCCAATACCTGACCACCCCTCGATGAAGAAAAGTTTCCTGATAATCATGCTAATCCTGAGATGTGATAATCCTCACAGACTGGCTGTACAGCCGGTGCAGAGCAGCTGCCCTCTGTGCTGGGACATCCTCTGCCACGAGGACTTCTGGTTAGCCTCATTAAACGTTAGTAGTTTCATGTAGGCTGTAAAATGCTTTCTGGGTACCTGGGACAAGCTTTGCTGGACACAGTGGTAGTAACGGTGCCTGGGAGGTTTTCTGTCCATGTCACGTAGAGCACATGCAGAGGTGCACATTGGAAACCTGTGTAAACAGGGTGAAGAAACCGCAGTGCTGGAGCTTGTTGACTTTTGGAAGAGAAGCTGCACTGTGCAGGCACCTGGGTCTTGCTTCCCTTGATTACTCTCAAAAACAAGTTTCACCAAGCACTCTTACCCCAAGCCGGGCAACTGACAGAAAAACTGATTTTTTTTTTTTTGAGTTTTTATTGTTATTTTTTAACAACAGTGTTGTTAAAACACTATTGTCAGCACAACCGTTTCTAAGAAAACAATAAATACCCCACTGGGTCGGAACAGTGGCTCAGCTTGATGAGGGCTGGTGA